TGACGATGTCCATTTTGCTCTATGAGTTCATGGTGACCTAACCCTAACCCTAAGTGGAATTTTCTCACTATGTAATTTTCCCATGTATTTTACCAGGAAAGACCGAGAGGGCAGCCTACAAAAGGAAGTAAGCTCCTAACCATACCCAAGTATTCCGAGTTTGTTGGCGATGTCCATTTTTCTCTATGAGTTCATGGTGACCTAACCCTAACCCTACGTGGAAATTTCCTCCAATCGGATTTTCCCATGTATTTTACCAGGAAAGATATATAAGGTAGCATACAAAAGTAAGTCCGCTCCTAACCATACCCAAGTATTCCGAGTTTATTGGCGATGTCCATTTTGCTCTATCAGTTCATGGTGACCTAACCTAACCCTACGTGGAATTTTCCTCCAATGGGATTTTCCCATGTATTTTACCAGGAAAGATAGATAGGGTAGCCTACAAAAGTAAATGCCCCCCTAACCATACCCAAGCACTCCGAGTTTATTCGCGAGTCCATTTTGCTGTATGAATTCATGGTGACCTAACCCTAACCCTAAGTGGAATTTTCCGACTATGTAATTTTCCCATGTATTTTACTTGGAAAGATATATAGGGCAGCCTACAAACGTAAGTACGCTCCTAACCATACCCAAGTATTCCGAGTTTGTTGGCGATGTCCATTTTTCTCTATGAGTTCATGGTGACCTAACCCTAACCCTACGTGGAAATTTCCTCCAATGGGATTTTCCCATGTATTTTACCAGGAATGATATATAAGGTAGCCTAAAAAAGTAAGTCCGCTCCTAACCATACCCAAGTATTCCGAGTTTGTTGGCGATGTCCATTTTGCTCTATGAGTTCATGGTGACCTAACCCTAACCCTAAGTGGAATTTCCCCATTATGTAATTTTCCCATGTATTTTTCCAGGTAAGATCGATAGGGCAGCCTACAAAAGGAAGTACGCTTCTAACCATACCCAAGTATTCCAAGATTCTTGGCAATATCCCTATTTCCCTATGAGTTCATGGTGACCTAACACTAGGTGGAATTTTCCTCCAGTGGGATTTTCCCATGTATTTTTCTTGGAAAGATATATAGGGCAGCCTACAAAAGTAAGTACGCTCCTAACCATACCCAAGTATTCCGAATTTGTTGGCGGTGCCCATTTTGCTCTATGAGTTCATGGTGACCTAACCCTAACACTAACTGGAATTTTCCCATTATGGAATTTTCCCATGTATTTTACCAGAAATGATAGATAGGGCAGCCTTCAAAAGTAAGTCCGCTCTTAACCATACCCAAGCACTCCAAATTTGTTGGCGATGTCCATTTTCTCTATGAGTTTATGGTGACCTAACACTAACCCTAAGTGGAATATTCCTCCAAAGGGATTTTCCTCAGAATACTTGGGTATGGTTAGGAGCGGACTTACTTTTGTAGGCTACCCTATATATCTTTCCTGGTAAAATACATGGGAAAATCCCATTGGAGGAAAATTCCACGTAGGGTTAGGTCACCATGAACTCATAGAGAAATAGGGACATTGCCAAGAAACTCCGAATACTTGGGTATGGTTAGGAGCGTACTTCCTTTTGTAGGCTGCCTTATCGGTCTTTCCTGGTAAAATACATGGGAAAATTACATAGTGGGAAAATTCCACTTGGGGTTAGGGTTAGGTCACCATGAACTCCTAGAGCATAATGGACAACACCAACAAACTCGGAGTGCTTGAGTATGGTTAGGAGAGCACTAACTTTTGAAGCCTGCCCTATCTATCTTTCCTGGTAAAATACATGGGAAAATCCCATTGGAGGAAAATTCCACTTAGGGTTAGGGTTAGGTCGCCATAAACTCATAGAGCAAAATGGACATCACCAAAAAACTCTGAATACTTGGGTATGGTTAGGAGCGTACTTACTTTTGTACGCTGCCCTATCTATCTTTCCTGGTAAAATACATGGGAAAAATACATAGTGGGAAAATTCCATTTAGGGTTAGGTCACCATGAACTCATACAGCACAATGGACATCGTCAACATATTTGGAGTGCTTGGGTATGGTAAGGGGGGCATTTACTTTTGTAGGCTGCCCTATCTATCTTTCCTGGTAAAATACAAGGGGAAAATCCCATTGGAGGAAAATTCCACGTAGGCTTAGGTCACCATGAACTCATAGAGAAATAGGGATATTGCCAAGAAACTCGGAATACTTGGGTATGGTTAGGAGCGTACTTCCTTTTGTAGGGTGCCCTATCGATCTTTCCTGGTAAAATACATGGGAAAATTACATAGTGGGAAAATTCCACTTAGGGTTAGGGATAGGTCACCATGAACTCATAGAGCAAAATGGACATCGCCAACAAACTAGGAATACTTGGATATGGTTAGGAGCGTACTTACTTTTTTAGGCTGCCCTATCGATCTTTCCTGGTAAAATATATTGGAAAATTACATATTGGGAAAATTCCACTTAGGGTTATGGTTAGGTCACCATGGACTCATAGAGCAAAATGGACATCGCCAACAAACTCGGAATACTTGGGTATGGTTAGGAGCGTACTTAATTTGTAGGCTGCCCTATCTATCTTTCCTGGTAAAATACATGGGAAAATTACATAGTGGGAAAATTCCACTTAGGGTTAGGGTTAGGTCACCATGAACTCATAAAGCAAAATGGACATCGCGAACAAATATGGAGTGCTTGGGTATGGTAAAGTGGGCATTTACTTTTGTAGCCTGCTCAATGTATCTTTCCTGGTAAAATACATGGGAAAATTACATAGTGGGAAAATTCCAGTTCGGGTTAGGGTATGGTCACCATGAACTCCTAGAGCAAATTGGACAACACCAAGAAACTCGGAGTGGTTGAGTTTGGTTAGGAGAGCACTAACTTTTGAAGACTGCCCTATCTATCTTTCCTGGTAAAATACATGGGAAAATCCCATTGGAGGAAAATTCCACTTACGGTTAGGTCGCCATAAACTCATAGAGCAAAATGGTCATCACCAACAAACTCGGAATATATTGGTATGGTTAGGAGCGTACTTACTTTTGTAGGCTGCCCTATCTATCTTTACTGGTAAAATACATGGGAAAAATACATAGTGGGAAAATTCCACTTAGGGTTAGGTCACCATGAACTCATACAGCAAAATGGACATCGCCAACAAATTTAGAGTGCTTGGGTATGGTAAAGGGGGCATTTACTTTTGTAGGCTACCCTATCTATCTTTTCTGGTAATATACATTGGAAAATTTCACAGTGGGAAAACTCCACTTAGGGTTAGGGTTAGGTCACCATGAACTCATACAGCAAAATGGACATCACCAACAAATTTGGAGTGCTTGGGTATCGTAATGGGGGCATTTACTTTTGTAGCCTGCTCAATGAATCTTTCCTCGTAAAATACATGGGAAAATTACATAGTGGGAAAATTCCACTTAGGGTTAGGTCACCATGAACTCATAGAGGAAAATGGACATCGCCAACAAACTCGGAATACTTGGGTATGGTTAGGAGCGTATTTAGTTTTGTAGGCTGCCCTATGTATCTTTCCTGGTAAAATACATGGGAAAATTCCATTGTGGGAAAATTCCACTTGAGGTTAGGGTTAGGTCACCATGAACTCCTAGAGCATAATGGACAACACCCACAAACTCGGAGTGCTTGAGTATGGTTAGGAGCATACTTACTTTTGTAGGCTGCCCTATCTATCTTTCCTGGTAAAATACATGGGAAAAATACATAGTGGGAAAATTCCACTTAGGGTTAGGGTTAGGTCACCATGAACTCATAGAGCAAAATGGACATCGCCAACAAACTCGGAGTGCTTGGGTATGGTTAGGGGGGCATTTACTTTTGTAGACTACCCTATCTATCTTTCCTGGTAAAATACATGGGAAAATCCCATTGGAGGAAAATTCCACGTAGGGTTAGGGTTAGGTCATCATGAACTCATAGAGCAAAATGGACATCGCCAACAAACTCGGAATACTTGGGTATGGTTAGGAGCGTACTTACTTTTGTAGGCTACCCTATCTATCTTTCCTGGTAAAATTCATGGGAGAATCCCCTTGGAGGAAAATTCCACTTAGGGTTAGGTCACCATGAACTCATAGAGAAATAGGGATATTGCCAAGAAACTCAGAATACTTGGGTATGGTTAGGATCGTACTTCCTTTTGTAGGCTGCCCTATCTATCTTTCCTGGTAAAATACATGGGAAAATTACATAGTGGGAAAATTCCACTTAGGGTTAGGTCACCATGAACTCATAGAGCAAAATGGACATCGCCAACAAACTCGGAATACTTGGGTATGGTTAGGAGCGGACTTACTTTTGTAGGCTACCCTATATATCTTTCCCGGTAAAATACATGGGAAAATCCCATTTGAGAAAAATTCCACGTAGGGTTAGGGTTAGGTCATCATGAACTCATAGAGCAAAACGGATATCGCCAACAAACTCGGAATGCTTGGGTATGGTTAGGAGTGTACTTCCTTTTTTAGTCTGCCCTATCGATCTTTCCTCGTAAAATACATGGGAAAATTACATAGTGGGAAAATTCCATTTAGGGTTAGGTTACCATGCACTCATAGAGAAATAGGGACATCGCCCAGAAACTCGGAATACTTGGGTATGGTTAGGAGCGTACTTCCTTTTTTAGGCTGCCCTATCGATCTTTCCTGGTAAAATACATGGGAAAATTACATAGTGGGAAAATTCCACTTAGGGTTAGGGCAGTGGTTCTCAACCTTTCTAATGCTGCGACCCCATAATACAGTTCCCCATGTTGTGGTGACCCCCTAACCACTTATACATCACCGGGTGCCAGGGGCGTGGCCAAAGAAAAGGGGGGGAAATGGCGGACAGCCTTGTTTGGTGACCCCCGTGAAATGGTCGTTTGACCCCAAATGGGGGGTCCCGACCCACAGGTTGAGAACCACTGGTCTAGCTTCTCCCAGAATCTTACCTTTGGGAGTGCAAATGGCACAATAAATTGTCCATGTGTAGCGCAACCGGTGAGCTGGTTTTAGAGTTGCTTGCAAGAAGATCTTTCCCCGAGCACAAACTGTCCCTTTGTAGTGATCAAGATCTATTGCTGTGAATGGGGAGTAAGAAAGCAGACAATGGAATTACTAAAGGTAGACTTCCAATGGTACAAAGCACCATAGATTCACATTCCCATGAAATACCTAAAGGATCACTGGCAACTTCTTCAGGATCACATGGTCCAGTGATTGTTTGTTCCACACTAAGGACGTATTTTAAGCAGCAGGACCCATTGTTAAATAAAACAAGGTGACATGATTGTGTGCTACCGACCAGGATGTGGCCAACATCTATCTGTTTCTCTTCTGCCTACAAGCCAAACAACAGATAAAGATATGAAAAAATATCCATGGTAGATTTTCTATGTAAATAAGTTCTGGGATTAATGATTTTTCCCTAAAGGGAAAAAAAGGATAAGTCAATGTTTTTATTAGGAAATATCCAACAGGCATCCTCCTTTAGGCTACATGGCATTATGTAGCAGCATACCCACTTACTACACTCCATAGCAATGCAATGGTTGAGTGTCACATGGATATGCTTTAAATGGCAGCCACCTTCTTTAATGGGGCTATACTAATTTTTCGCAGAGTAGATGTTCTCACTCACTGTTATGGTACCAAAGGATCCCTCCCCAATAAGTCGCAGAACGTAGCGAATACTCTTGGGAGTCTTGTCATCCAGCATTTCTTGGTCTCTCCAAACTATCACCCAGCTCCGCAGGAGATATTTGATCTGTTCAGCAGGAGTGAAGGTCCATGTCTGAGCCTGAAATCATATGCAGAATAGGAGGCTGAAGGATCCAGAGATCCCTCTCTTTTGGAATGGGTCAGTAAGTTGTTAAGAGCCATAGAGGAACCAAAGACAGCTTCCTTTTCTCTCTTGCTACTCTTGTAGCAAGTAGCTCTAGTATCTTGCTACTTTTATCTGTGCAGAACCCTAACGGTGTGAATGCATTATTTAGCCAGGCAATGTTGGTAGTTATTATTATTATATTCAGCTCAAGGAAGAGCTGCTAAATATATCTGTTAATTATCCTACTTACTAAAGCTTCATTGGGTAGTAGTGTCCCTTCGGCAGGTTGGACAGACAGAAGCTTTTGGTCAGACTTCTGAATTTTCCATCTGAAAAGCATAGGCAATCGGGTACAGTTTTTGATGGTGAAGGTACGTGAAGAGCAGGATCCCACACAGGTGGGTTTGAAGTACAGATTGCCATCCCCTTCCAAGAGTAGGGCCAGAGGCTCAGCGTTGCTCTGAAGGAAAATCTCCTGATGAAGCAAAGATCAACAGACATAATGAGCCGACGTTAAAAACCATCCATGGAGGTTCACTTTGGTCCTAGCTGGCATGAGCAAGCATGAAAAGACTGGACCTATACAAGAAGGAAATGCTTAGGCAAGGTAGCCAAATCAATTGTAATACTATGAAGTTCTAGAAATGCCATGAAACATACACAACTGGAATCTCCGAAACACATGTATGGATCTGGAGTGATCAATGAAAAACAGCTAGAGATTGACTGAAGCCAACGAAGGGAATGTGGAAGATTTGGGGTGGGGATGGGAGGACAAGATGGTAGCCAATGATGTACAGTTGCTGCTGGTGAATTAAGTAATGTTGTTGATGTCCCTGTGCCTGAAGCCTGTGGGATCTAGATGGGGAACAACAGTGTTCAATTGAACCTTGGGAAGATTGAGTGGCTCAGGGTTCTAGGGCTTTCCAATTCTGGAACTATGTCATCTCTGGTACTGAATGGGGTTGCGCAGCTCCAGACAGACCCAGTGTACAACTTGGGAGTCCTCCTGGATTTGCAACTCCTGCTTGAAGAGCAGGTGGACGCCGTGGCTAGGAGGGCCATTGCTCATTTTCATATTGTGCGCCAGTTGCACCCCATTCCTGGATCAGAAGGTTCTGTTCACTATCACTCATTCCTGGTCACCTCCAGAATGGATTACTCTACATGGAGCTACCTTGAAGAGAACCTGGAAGCTTCAGCTAGTATAAAATGCAATGGTGAAGGCAGCTATAGTATGTGTGCCCCTAGAATGGTACATGTTACATTTCTGATCTACAACCTGCATTCATTCCCAGTTTGCTTCTAGATCCAATTCAAGGTGCTGGTTTTGTTATTTAAGTCTCTTCATGGCACAGAGCTGGGTAATTTGAGGGACTACCTTTTCCCAATTACTTCTGCCTGTCCCATCTGGTCTGGTAGGTGAAGCAAACTGCAGATCCCCTCTGTTAAAAATCTACAGCTAATGAAACCCAGGAAGTGGTCCTTTTCTGTTATAGTGCTCATCCTGTAGATCAGGGCTTTTCAACCAGTGGTACGGGTACCACCTGTGGTACATTGGCACCTAGCAGGTGGTACGCGACCATCCTAGAAAAGTGGTAGCGGGGGAGGGGAATGAGCTGAACCGGTGGCAGCACCGCACAAGCCTGAGCAAGAGATGGCTGGAGATACAGGGCTGTCAGGGCTCAGCGGAAGCACCAGGATCAGTGCCACTTTCCAGCTGATCGGCGCTTCTTCTGGGTTGTCTGATCCAGCGCTGATCCTGATGCTTCTGCTGAGCCTTGAAGAAGCACCAATCAGCTGGAAAGCAGCACTGATCCTGGCGGTTCTGCTGAGCCCAGAAGAAGCGCCGATCAGCTGGAATGTTGCAGCATCTCCAGGGTCTTGTGATTTACATTTAGATGCTTGGCAACTGATTCATATTTATGATGGTCACAGTATCATGTGAAGTGACTAAAATCTGCTGCAACCACCCAGCAGACGGGGGGAATAAAAAACAAACAATCCCCACCCCACCTCTGCTGCCAATCCTCAACAGAAATGCTCACAACAATGAAAACCTCGGACAGGAGGAAGAGCACCGCTAGGTGGGCAGGCAGGTATCTTGCTCGGCTGTGGCTTGGGGAGCACTTTTTCAGTGCCATTGTAACTTCGAACAGTCACTAAGTGAACTGTTGTAAGTCGAGGACTACCTGTACTTTATCACTTTTTTCCTTTTTTTGGGGTCATCAAGTTTTTGACACCTTGCTAGGCGACTGGTGGTACTCGGATATTGCCATATCCTAAAAGTGGTGCACTGGGTGAAAAGGTTGAAAAGCCCTGCTGTAGACCAGGGGTGTCAAACTGCTGACCCATGGGCCGGATGCGTCATGCCAAAACCGTGCCCACCCTATTGCCGGGAATGGGGAAAAAAATCACGATATGTCACGATATGTCACGTGACGTTGCAAGTTTGATACCTCTGCTGTAGACCATCCTCCTCCTACCCCCTCCCCTCTGGAGACTGGCTTCATCCTTCATGTCTTTCTGGAAGTCCTTCAAAACATGATTATATCAACAGTCTTAGAGGTCTCATAGAAATGGGGATTTAATGTGTGGCTACACTGCATGTAACATCTAATGTTCTCTCTAGCCCTTTTTTCATAATAATGTTGATGTTTTAATTGTAGAGCGTTTTTGTCATTACGGTTTTATGGGTTTTTATACAACACCTAGAATCATATTTCTGAGAGACTGGTGGCATATAAATATGATAGATAAATAAATATAGGCTGAGCTAAAAGCAAGAAGTCCAGAAGTTACAACTGTCAAAGGATTGTAAACAGCAATCATCCTCTGCCACCACCATCCCAAAAAAAGTATCATTAAGTAAACCACATTTAAATGATCAGATTCAGTTCTGCTCTATGATCTGGATGTCATCAAGGTGGATAAGCCCATTTCCTTCCTTTTTCTAATTAACTGGTAAAAACAGGAAATTTTATTTGCAGACATTCCTAAACTATCTTCCCCTTTTCTTTAGATAAGGAAGCAGGGAAAGGGATTATAAAATAGCACATTGCCACAAGTGAAAAGGTTACCTAAATTATTGGTCCTTGTTAAGCTCTCTAATAGCTCCTACCTTGGTATGGAATAGCAAGAGCTTTAAAGACCTCACCAAAATTAAATTAAAATAAAATAAAACTACTAGAGAAAGGGTGCCAAGAAAATGAAGGGGGCATGATAGCATAATAAAATAGGGCAAAAAATAGAAAGAAAAAAAATTGCATTTCCTTGCTTACCTGTGTGAAAGAGGACCAGAAATTGAGATGCAAGAGCAAAGTGTGCTGTTGTATAGTTGTTTCTGTGGGGCAAGTTGAAAGGAAAAAGATCTGATGGGCTCCTGGAATAATATATCCACAGCTGGGCTTGACCAAGACAGAAGGACACTTTTCTCGGCCAATGTTAAAACATATGGCTGTCGTGCCCACATTGCGGACTAACATGCTGCGATATGTGGTGACATTCCGACATACTGGAGGAAAGACCTGGGAGACAAGGAGAGGTTTGGATTTTCCTCCATCACTTCTGTACTTTAAAGGAACTTGTATTAATCGGGAACATGGAAAGTCATAATGGCCATATGCAATTTATATAACATCTAGTTCAATTTGCAAGATGACTCCCATGTATCAACTAGCAAACCACCAAAATACAGGTCTCAAACATGCCCAGCCATTCAGTAATTGCAAACCATCACCTGCATAGCAATTAATGATTGATTAATTGTTATTAATTAATTAATGGAGAAGTCAGTGATTTGGAAGCTAATGTCAGACTCCAGTCAGATTCACCTTTAGAACACAGCATGCTAAGTTGCCATGTTGTGGCATGCATTCATCTTTCCGCCACCTGGTCTGAGTATAAATATGCAGTATCAAATCACCCACGCGTCTTCTTCAAGCTTCATTTTTTTCAAACACATTTCACATTAAGCTCAACAAGCAAGTATCCAACACTTTATTTCAGTTTTAAGTACTTCTAAAATAAGTTGTCATGTACCTAAGCTACTCCAAGAAGGTAGAGAGTTGAACAATAACTTGGCATTTCTAACACCATGGAAATCAGTTTGATCTAGTGCAGCGTTTCTCAATGTTTGTGTGACGGCGACCCCCGTCACACGAACGTGCCGCGCATGCGTGGCGTGGCGCACATGCGGGCGCTGCCCCCATGTGCGGCGCACATGCGCGGTGCCGCCCCCTGAGGGGGGAAAATGGCGGATCGCATTGTTTGGTGACCCCCGTAAAATGGTCGTTCGACCCCAAATGGGGTCGCGACCCATAGGTTGAGAACCGCTGATCTAGTGAATCAATTTAATTTGTTACATCTGGATTCTCACAATATGTTTTAGACCAGGGGTCTTCAGTCTTGGCCCTTTTATGACTTGTGGACTTCAACTCCCAGAATTCCTCAGCCAGCGTGCCTGGCTGAGGAATTCTGGGAGTTGAAGTCCACAAGTCATAAAAGGGCCAAGTTTGAAGATCCCTGTTTTAGACAAACACAGCATTTCTAAATGGAAACAACAGAGCCGGATCTGTTAAGATTGCACTGTGGACACTGTAAATAATGGCTGTAAAGTAGTACCGTGCCAACAATTAAGTGACTATCCATGAGAAAACTGCTTGTATTTCACAGACATTTACCGGGGATGACAAACATTCTTCACCTTATGAGAATCCAAGGTGAACTGTGGGATAAAGTGCTGTCGCCCAGGTTGAAAAGTATGTCCACGCAAGCGGATGGTCAAACTCCAGGATGGACACATAGTGATGGGCTCCTCAACATTGTTGTAGTGTCTCAGTACCTACCAGTGAAAAGAAACAGAGTGTCAACGCTGCTAACATTGGATGTTCTTGCTTTGACAAACTATGAAGAGGCAGCCACTCTCTGTATACGCTGTGCAGTATTTTTAGAATTAAATTAGATGATGTTGGGAGGGGAGGAGAAAGAATGTGTGTGGGAATTAATTAAGATAAGAAACCGTGGGCTACAGAACAGAAGGGAAACTTTGCCCTTCAAACTAATTGGAGAACGTGATTTATGACTGCAAATTAGAGGAGGGAAATATGCTGGAATATTATGTGCTCAGGGGAGGGGAATTCAGATCTTAGCATCCACCATGCTGTGCCAACACTTTCTTTCACAATTAAAGACTTTTTAGGATAAACAATGCCTGGAAGTTCTTTGAAGTGTTTCATTAGTCGGAACAAGGGAAGAGCAAGGGAAGCCTATTAATTTGTGCTTTAGAGTGAGTTAAACAAAGAGGTTCCAAGTCAGAATTCCAAGGCAGGAAGAGGACAGAACATGCCCTTCAACAAATTTCCTGCTTACTAAATTTTTTAACCAGTTACTTTCTACCCTCCTTTATGAGGAGATGGCAGAAGACCTTTATCAGGACAAGCATCCACTTATTACCTGCAAATAATAATAATAATAGTAGTAGTAGTAGTAGTAGTAATAATAATAATAATAATAAAGTTGGAAGGGACCTTGGAGGTCATCTAGTCCAGTGGTTCTTAACCTGGGCGATATTGCCCCCCAGGAGGCGACTTCATTTTTCAGGGGGGCGATGGAACAAAAAGGGGCGATATGGGGGCGATGGAGCGAGAAATTTGGGGGAACTTTTGAGACTTTTTCATACATCGCTGTATATCTGTCGTACAAAAACATCAGATCGCTCGCTATTAGTGGATTGAATTGTGTTTTCAAATGTTCCTCCAGCTAGCTTCAGTACAGAACGCCGTACGTATATGAATACACATTGCTTATCTTCATGCGTGTTGCGCAGCAGCCTCTACCCTTTTTATATTTCTTTTTGCATCTTAAATTTTACTTGTAATTCAATCATTAAATATTACTATTTTTCTTTTCGGGCATTTCACTTTCTTGCAATTGAATTTTGTTTTCAAAATGGTCATTACATTTAAGTGTCTTGAATAAATAAGATAATAATGAAATATATGTATCACGAAGTTTGGAAATAAAGTGACGGGTGGCACCAAAATTTTTCACACAGTTGACATATGGGAAAAAAATTGGAAATAAATTATTTGCATCAATATGTCCTGATGACAATTTTAAAGAAAATAAAACAAGTGTTTGCATAAATTGAAGAATTATTTCCTATGTTGTGATTGAGAGGTTATGTTGGGGGAGGGGGGCAATGACAACTTCCTTATTGGCTCAAGGGGGCGATTCGTTCAAAAAGGTTAAGAACCACTGATCTAGTCCAACCCCCTGCTCAGGCAGGAAACCCTATACCATTTCAGACAAATGGTCTCTTCTTAAAAACTTCCAGTGTTGGAGCATTCACCACTTTTGGAGGCAGGTTGTTCCACTGGTTAATTGTTCTAACTGTCAGGAAGTTTCTCCTTAGTTCTAGATTGCTTCTCTCCTTGATTAGTTTCCATCTGTTGCTTCTTATCCTGCCTTCAGGCACCTTGGAGAATAGCTTGATTCCCTCTTCTTTGTGGCAACCCCTGAGATATTGGAACACTGCTATCATGTCATCCCTCATCCTTCTCTTCATTAAACTACTAGACCAGTGGTTCTCAACCTTTCTAATGCCATGACCCCATAATACAGTTCCCCATGTTGTGGTGACCCCCAAGTGGGTGTGGCCACCAATAAGAGGGAGTAGGACAGCTAGGGAAAAGGGAAAAAAATGGCGGACAGCGTGGTTTGGCGACCCCCGTGAAATGGTCATTCGACCCCAAATGGGGTCCCGACCCACAGGTTGAGAACCACTGTACTAGACATACCCAATTCCAGCAACCGTTCCTTATATATATTTAGCCTCCAGTCCCCTAATCATCTTTGTTGCTCTTCTCTGTACTCTTTCTAGAGTCTCAGCATCTTTTTTACATCGTGGTGACCAAAACTGGATGCAGTATTCCAAGTGTGGCCTTACCAAGGCATTGTAAAGTGGTATTAACACTTCACGTGATCTTGATTCTATCCCTATTTCACATCAGATAGCCAACCACACCAATGCGGCAGGAGAAATGATCCACTCTAATGGGATGAGAAGCTGCGTATCCTAAAGGTTGGCCTTTTGGACCTTGATTTCTACCCACCTTGTAGAAAGCAAAGCCTTCGAGTTCTGCTGCGTATAAAGTATTGACCTGAGGAGGCTGGAAAGTGATGCGGAAAGCCATACTCTTTAGAGACGGGATGTCACAACTCTCCGGCATCACCTGGAAAGGACTGTCTGGCTTTCTTGTCCATATAACGGTGACTTTCCCCTTGGTATGGTTGGTCACAGAGAAAGGAAGTGGCTCTATCTCTCGAAGACTTGCACAGCAGCCAAAATCAAACTCCTTGATGCTGAGGCTGACGTGAGGAGGATAGATAGTGAGGTCACTGCATACACCATCATGGAAATATTCAACTATGGGTTCAATGACGGGGTACTCCTCGGGGGGTTTGTCCTGCAGTATCTTAAAAACAAAAGACCTGCATTTAGCCAAAAGAGAAACTGCTCATTTTACCCTTACTGAAAGTAAGGGAATAATTGTATAGATCCCGGTCCATAGGGAAGCTCGGGTTATTCAACATTGGGATAAAAGCTTATAAAATTTAACAGATTGAATTTACAGGGGATATCCATATTCATAGTATATTCTGGGAATTATGAGGATGGAACAGCAAAAGCAGCGGTAACCAATTCATATGCTAGGCTTCCTTTTCAAAAGATGCAGGGTTGAATAAGTTTGCTTCTCATAAAACATACTTTACCTCTGGCGGGAGTGTAAGAGCTCCATTTTCATCTACCAGCAACTTGCCTTCCTTCAGCATGGTGCTCAGGATGTCTGGTGAGAAAAAGGTCAGTCCTCTGGCCATATGTGTCCGGTACCTGCTCAGATCCTTCACTTTCAGAGGGTTGGGGCTTGTGGTTTCTGTGTGGCAGGTCCCAATCAAGTCTACGAACAATGGATCCTGACCAGCATCAAGGGCACAAGAAAGAAAACAGTCAGTTTCACCCGAAGAGGTAATTTGTTCTATCCTTCACTCTGAATTTTTCCTAGAAGCATCATCCATACAATTTGGTACAGGACAATGTGTAAAATTTCAATTCTCTGCTTACAAAACTCAAAACAACTAGATAGTGTTGTGGAGAAAATAAACCTAACAAACAAAATGGAGGTCACACCTTTTTTCTACCTGTCAAGCCCAGCTCCTCCTTTTGCCTAATCCTATCAGGCCCAAATTTGCCTCGGGACAAAGCTCAGATAAACCAAAGAAGAGAAGCCTCTCTAACCATTTCACAGTGCAGCCCAAAGAAGCCCCAGTAAAGAAGTTCCAATACAACAAGGTGAGAAATCCCAACTTTCCATCTTCAATCAGCATGATGATCTCATTCCATCTCCTTAACAATGGATTTTCCAAGGTCTGCTGCCAGGTACCAGGACAAGGACCTGCCTAACTTCCAGCCAGCAAATCAAATCTCTAGAATTTCCTGCTTTACAGTCCTCAGTTGCTATACGAATCATTGCTTTCTCATTGTTCGGGGTCCCTCTTCTAAACCCAATATTTGTTGCAATAAACAAAGATCTCCTCAGTATTGTGCTCAGTACTTCTGAAATTTTCATGATAAGTGGGGGGGAAATTAAACCTATCAGAGCCTGAAAATTAGGCCCATATCAGAGCCAGTGCTTTGGTTTAACTTAAGAATGTTATACAAGAAATGAAATAGGAGCTACGGGCAGGAGGAACATCTCATACAATGTAATCAGAATTGCCTGGACAGAGGAAATTATTCTATTTGCTCAATGAAATGGTACTTGACTATCATGTAGTTGACTGGGTTGCACTATTCAGAGACAAGGGCAAGATGTATCTTAACTCGCTTACCTGATGATGCACAAGGCAAACCACACGCCGGTAGCATATAATTGGGTGAGTAGGCTGGAAAGTCACCTTCAGTGTGATGGTTGACATTCCATTCAAGACTCCATAAGGGCGGTCAATGGAAAACACACTCTGTGTACAATCAATGTCAAACTGATAGTAAGCTGGAACGTCGGAGTTGTTAATGATGTCCAATGGCTGGTTTAAGTATTCACCAAGTTTAATGCAATTGAAGTAAACAAAAGGATGCTGAACAGTTACCGCAGGGCCTAGAATAACAAACAAATCCAATTTTCATTCTGCTGTGGACGTTGTCACCAAGGAAGGGGCTTTTTGTATAGTAAAAAAAACTCCTAATAATGTGTTTTACTTTGAAGTATGGATGTCATGCGTGTTTTCAATAAAATAATTACTCTGGTCACCTATTTTTTAAGGCTTTCAAACATACCCAGTTCCATTCTCATGCATACTTGGAACAGAAATGCACAGGATCAGCTTCTTCCTCTGTGGTGAGAAGAGTTCTCTTTTCCATAGAAAAGGATCATTTCAAATATTTCTAACAAATAAGGAATGTAGTTGTATTGAGATAACAGAAATAAACCTCTGTTTGATTATCAATGACAGACACTTGCAGATACAGAACTTTTATTATGCACATTAGAAAACTATGACATTACATTACTTTTCAACATAATTGCTATTCAAATTGAGGCACTTGTCATAACGTTTAAATTCCTTAGTAGTCATCTCCTGGTGCCAAATCTGGACTATGGGAGGGTGATCAAAAACATCCCAACAGAACTGCTTCAGAAGTTCTTAGGTGTGTCTAGTGGTGTGCGGTCGAGCATTATCGTGAACCAACACCACACTGGAAGTGGTGCCATGGAAAATCCCGCCAAATGTGAAGATGCCAAAGGAGTACTGCTAGTGAAGTTCATGGAGCCTGGTTCGACCATCAGTTCAGAAGTCTACTGTGAAACATTATGAAAAACTCAGATGAGCCATCCATAACAAGCGTCGGGGCATGCTGACTTCTGGTGTGGTGCTGGTTCACAATAATGCTCGCCTGCACACTACTAGATGCACCCAAGAATTTTTGAAGCAGTTCTGTTGGGATGTTTTTGATCACCCCGCCGCTCATAACCCAGATTTGGCGCCGAGTAACTACTACTTAGGAATTTCAAACCTTGTAAGACGTTATGACAAGTGCCTCAATTTGAATGGCGATTATGTTGAAAAGTAATGTAATGTTGTAGTTTTCTAATGTGTAGAATAAAAGTTCTGTATCTGCAGGTGTCTGTCATTGATAACCAAATGGAGGTTTACTTCCGAATTGCCCTTGTACATAGGGCAGCAAATTTTTAGGCTTGAAAATAACATAGGAATCTAAACAAATCAGTTTCTGTTGTCTACAAATATATTCTCTATCAACTTTAGAAAATGTTGTACATAATATGATTAGAATCCAATATCAGGCAAGTTTCTATATCTATATTTACTAAAATTAAGAGTGAGATATAGGGATAGGTGAAATTTATTTTTGCTCAGTTTCTCCTTTTTAAAAAATATTAAGGGCATTTAATTCCATTTCTGTGCCTGCCTGTATTTTTTGCATATTTCCTAATATACATAGCATTAGGCAGCACTTCCCACACCTAGGTGAATTACCCAAAATTGGATAATAATAATAATGACACATGGACTCATAACCCAACACCAGAGGGAATTTAAATTGACATAAAAATTGTCATATGCATTAAAATACATTCCAAAATTTCCCAAATAATTTCTATTAAGACAAAAATCAGCGAAATTACCAATGTAATTTGGCACAAAATCATTCAGAGATACTGTTTTTATAATACAAGTTATGACAATAATGAAGGAAGGGACTTACAACCAGTCCTTAATGTTTGATAAGACTTTCTAATAAGTGGTTTGGGGTAATGAAACCACACACATTTTCCACAATATGTGCCTTGTTTGAGTTTTTTGATGAAAGAACTGCTTTGCAAAATCTGGGAAAATAGGATTCTGAAATATACTGTGGTTTGCATACTGGTCCGAGAAGTGCACATTTATTAAATTTGCACTTAAATGTGAACTAAATTTCTCTCCAGTCCCTACTGATGTGCTTCACTACAGCATAAAGAAGCAAATAGGAACCCACTGCATGTACCTTTGCATGATCCTGTCACCTTCAACACAGAATGTGTGCTACTTCCCAAAGGCACAATGGTGAAGTAATCCACACTTTTCACACCCACAGTGTGGGGGTTAAACCTAACAGGGATGACTGATGTGCCACCAGTTTTAACAATGGCTTGAGTAATGTCGCAGGAAAAGACACGATCACGAAGCATCGGCTCCTTCGTTCTGTCAATCCTGAATGGAGCATCGACCTGTCAAGAGACAGACAGTTAGCTCTCCCTCACTGAGCAAAGAGGGTTTTTTTTTTACCTTTGGCTGCATATGCCAAAAAGCCTGAAACAGATTTTTCTCACAATCTTGTCTCTTCTAACTTGAAAGAGTAATTTTTCTACCTTAAACACCTAGCTGGAAAAATGAACGAAAGAAGCAGCATTGTTGGCAGCTGATGTGGTTAGACATAAGAACCACTGAGATGCTGCTTCTTTTCCATGTTGGTTTTATTATTTCCTCTCTAAGGCTCGAGATGCTTAATAGGCCAAGCCAGTCTTTCAGGTCTATTAATGCATTCTTACAGTCAAGGATCACTGAGTTGAAAAGGAATTAGAGAGGTCCTTAGCTCAAATGCAGGCCTATAAATGAAACAAAGCTGCATTCTGAAATTTGGCCACACAAGCTATTACCCTCTTCCTATCACAGTTCTGAGCAGATCAGTGAACTAGAGCAATGCCTGGCCAGTTTCTTGCACCCAAGAAAATTGTAAAAATGGTCCATCGCATGAATTGTCTACCTAGCAACAGAGATGACCCTAAAAAATTGATACTTGGAGAAAGTCTTTCAACCAGATTTCTCCCTTTACAACAAAGATGGATGACTTCCAGCCCATTTCCTGAAGCATCTAGAAGCCCTCTCAGATTTTATTACCAACATTCAGCACTATATTTGGGTTTTTCTCTCCTAAAATTGCAAGTAGATGGATCTGTTAAACGTCCACTTACTTTATTATACCTATTTTATTTTTTCAAAAATCTGATCGTTCAAAAACTCCCAAAGAAGTCAGAAGTCAAACATGTTATCCTGTTCCTCACTAATGTTGCTACAGCATCACTGGCATGCCTCATTTGGTGCTTGAAGATATCCTCTCCCCCCCCCCCCCCCAAAAAAAAAGGTGTGGCCTGTACGGATAACATCATCTGCTTCAAAAGTCAAAGGAAAGGCAACATGTCGATGTGAGAAGAACAAGCTGCATTGGATAGAACACTCTCTTCTTCATTCAAGAAACACCTTTCCATACCATAGATACATTCAGTATCTCCATTGGTTTCTCCACAATGCTGTCAACAGCAACTGAGCCAAAGGAAAGCACATCCCGGAACTTTATAAGCTTGATATCTTCATTGGTGTCTTCTGGCACGTTGACCAGCAGGTGGGGATATTTACCTAGAAAAAAAAAATATTGTATTTAACGATGGAGATGGCTGCGTTCTGAATTTATGTCGATCTTGACATTTGTATCACCATACCAATGGTGTGCAGCTATTCATGCCCTGACCTGAAACATGTTTGTAAGAAAAATATTCTGGGAACAATAATTTCCCTCCTAAACTCTCCCAATATGAGTTTTTCAGAAGCCTTCTAAATGATGGGCAATTGACTACAAAACCTGGACATGAGAGACATCAAATTTCCTATTAAAAGAAAATGAAAAAATAATAAGAGAGCTGTCATTTTTCTTGCAAGAAAGTAACCAGGCATTATGATACTGTCCATTTTATGGTACTGTTTTTAGCTGTAATAATTGTACACGATGATAAGGAAAATAACACATTTCTTAACAACTTGGATGTATCCTGAATAAAAGTTCAGAGGCAATACAATGATTAATAGCTATCATTAGATACTTTGCAAGGGAAACAAGAATTGAATGAATTGCAAAAACCAAGCTGAAATTAGGTTTTGTTTTTTTTAATACCTGCAAAATAGGACAGGACAGCACATCTTCCCAAACTCGTGGTTTTTTTTTAACATTGCAGATAAATGTATTGGCAACCACCCATTATACATGTAAGCATTGTTTGTCCTAGGTGAAGATGCAACAGGACATATACATATGCCAGACGTATATAGATTTAAAATGGAAGATATAATTTCATTCTTCCCCCTTACAGTGATGTAGGGAGAAATTGCTATCTACCAAAGGAACAATTTTGACAAGAAATGAGGTGGGGATGATGGACAAACTAAGCTACCGTATTTTTCTGTGTATAAGATGCTATTTTTTTCCTGCAAACACCCTCTTCAAAAAATCAGGTGCGTCTTATACATGGAAAAATAATGGTAACCTCCACAGCCCAGGGCATGCCTGTGTGCGTTGCCATGCCGTCTGGTGCAGGTGTCAAGCCCCTGTGGGCTTGCCACTAAGGGGAGGGGGGAGGGGGCAAGATCTTCGGCGGGCCGAACTTGTGGATTTGCTGGAGTGCCGAACAGCTGATTGGTGCAGAGAGCATCTTATACAAGGGTGTGTCGTATAGACGGAAAAATACGGTATTCAGTATATCTAGCTGAAGGTTAGTTTCTGACTCAAATGTCAGAAAGATGAGTGGAGCTCCCAGGAGGCTGATACATATCAAACTTTGTGTTTGATAATTTTAGAGTGTAAATGTTCTTACCAACAGCTTTCAGTTTAAGAGTCTTCTGCTCCTGATGGTCTCCAAAGGTGCATGTTGCTAAAACATCATATACTAAAGCCATCTCCGGTTGAAAAGTCACCTTCATTGTGCATTCTTCACCAGGATCCAACATGCCACGAGAAGGAATTAAAAAAAAAGGTTCGGGCACCTCCCAGCTAAAGCATGTCAGTAGATCCCTATAAAAAACAGTCCATAAACCAAGGGTTCTTTATCAAAACTAAACAGTGTTTCTCAAAATATGGTATTATGCACATATGTATTTATTTTACAATAGCTGCATGCCACCTACTTTCCAAGATTCTGGACAGTTCACAGTAGTACAATCTCATTAAAAAGGTTCCACTAAAATACTTAAATATAATTAACTACACATTACTACTTAACTAATAGTCAAACTATAAACACCAACGACTGTCCAGTTGTCAGCATTTCTATCAGCCCATCCTCCAAAACCCTAAGAAAAGAAAATGATCTTCAGGGAAAGAAGAAAGGAGCCATTCTAATTTCAAGAAGATGATTCCATAGGGTCAGAGCACCTGTGGAGAAAACCTGTTCCCATGTTGACATTTGGGGAGAGGGAACAACCAGCATACCTTCTTGAATCAAGCATACAAGACAGAAAGATTCTACTTGGAGAATGCAATTCCATAAAAATTGTGGACCTGAACCATAAAAGGCTTCATAGGTCATAATTAGTGTTATGAATTATATTCCCAAACGAATGCAGCTCCCACAAAAAGGGTATGATTTTGTTAGACTGGGTCTGTCCTATCAGGAGTCAGGCCATTTCATATGGACCAGTAACCCAACCATGAGAGGAAGGAATGAATTTCAATCACTTAGAGCAGTGGTTCTTAACCTGGGCGATATTGCCCCCAGGGGGCGATTTCATTTTTCAGGGGGGCAATGGAACGAAAAGGGGCGACGCGGGGCGAAGTAACGAAAAGGGGGTGATATGGGGGCGATGGAGCGAAAAGTTTTGGGGAAACTTTTGAGACTTTTTTGTACAGTGAATGGCTGTATATCTGTCGTACAAAAACATCAGATTGCTCGCTATTAGTGGATTGAATTGTGTTGTCAAATGTTCCTCCAGCTAGCTTCAGTACAGAACGCCGTACATATGTGAAGACGCATCGCTTATCTTCATGCGTGTTGCGCAACAGCCTCTACCCATACAGTGGCACGCCATTAGCCAAAATATGGGAGATATGGGAAAAAGACTGGAAATAAATTATTTGCATCGATATGTCCTGATGACAATTTTAAAGAAAACAAAAAAAGTGTTTGCATAAATTGAAGAATTATTTCCTATGTTGTGATTGAGGGGTTATGTTGGGGGAGGGGGGTGATGACAACTTCCTCATTGGCTCAAGGGGGCGATTCGTTCAAAAAGGTTAAGAACCACTGACTTAGAGCATCCTGTTCCAAATATGGCTGCATCTGTTACACTAGCTGTAAGCAGGCAAAGATTCTTCTGACGACAGCTTCATCTGCTATTCTAGCAAGAATTATGAATCAAGGCAAACCCCTAGATCTTGGCCCAACGTTTTGGAGAATGGATAGAAGTTGCCTAAAATCTCTGGATTGAGACAGTGCCTCTTCAAGAGGGGATGCACCATTGCTTCCTTCAAAAAGATAAGTGTGATGCTTCCCTCAGAAAAGCATTAAGGATTCCTCAAATCCATGGACCTGCCCTCTCTGTGCCAACTCAATTGATCCAAGAGAGGCAGGGATCTGTTTCAAGGAATACAAGCTGCCTCTATAGTTGTCTCAATGGATCCTGTGAACAATTAATCCATCTCAAAAAGAATGATATCAGAGTAATTGCAAGGGAGATCTTCTCATCCATCATTCCCCAAGTAGCTGCAGGTAATCCTCCACCATATTGGAGGTCTAACGTTGGGTTCTTAACCCCTTTTGATTGTGTCTGATCATGCTCACTTTTCATTTTCCAATTTTGACACTCTATGTATTTCTTTATTGTTTCATTCCCTTGGACTCCTCTGTGAATCACGGCATGCAGGAAGAGGCTGATTGGGAGCAATTTCATCCAATGCCCTTGCCAGAGCTCAGTGAGAAGAAACTTGAAACTGCTTACATGATCACTGACACATTTCCAAATGCACTGCGGAAAGCCCTAGAATTAATAAGACACCTGAAGAGGACCTTCCTAATTGGGTCCACCCAGCATTCTGAAAACTTCAGGCGGGACAAAAAATGTGGTAAGTCTGTGATCAGTGAGTCCCTGGGGCAATCCAAGGCTGCCGTTATGTCCAGGAAATCCTAGCTTTTCTGACTTAGCCCCAGTGCATGGAGGTTGAAATTCTCCAGACCAAAAGCTTGGAGAATCAATTCCGATCCAGAGACCAAACCTGAGTTTAGAATTAGATATTGCTGGGCAGGAAAGTAAACACTAGTAGCACCCCTAGCAATTCCCTAATGTTCAACCACACATAGGATCACTCGCAGTTATCTAAAGTAGAGGGCCTCAGGATATTGCCGCTCATCTTCCATGTCTTAAAGTCACACTTGCTGCAATAACGGAAACCCAGAGCATATTTTCATACATGGACTCCTTTCACATCTTTACCCAGCCATGTATCACAGTGATATATCCCAGGCCATATAATGTTAGCTAACTCAAACCTTCGTCTCATTACTAACAAGCCTCCCTATTGAAAAATCCAAATTAGCAATTTCTAACAAGAATGTGGCTGCTACTGGACCCTTCCTGAGCCCCATAGGAATTGTTAGGGAAAATATGGCAGATGGCAGTAGCTCAATATTTTTCTGAAATAATGCCCACCTGCTCCAAGGAAGAATTAGAATTAGAATAAGAAAAGCATAGTTGGAAGGGATCTTGTAGGTCATCTAGTCCAACCCCCCTGCCCAAGCAGGAGATCCAACATTTCTAACAGATGGTAGTCCAGTCTCTTCCTGAAAGCTTCCACTGATGAAGCTCCCACAACTTCTGAAGGCAAACTGTTCCATTGGTTGATTGTTCTCACTGTCAGAAAAAAAATCTCTTTATTTCTAGGTTGAATCTCTCCTTGATCAGTTTCCATCCATTATTCCTAATCTGGCCTTCAGGTGCTTTGGAAAATAGGTTGACCCCCTTCTCCCTGTGACAGTCCTTCAAATATTGGAACATTGCTGTTATGTCCTGAGCCTGCTGAAGCATTCAGCAGGCTCAGAAATGTTGCAAAGGGTCCCGGGCAGACCAAAAGCTGCCCGGGACCAGACTGGCTGTCTCCAGCCTTGCACACATGCGCAAGGCGCAAAAACAGCCTGGCTTTCATTCGCTGACGCTGTCCATGTCTAGGACACTATAAAAGGCCTACGCGCCATTTTTGCTGTTGTTGTTTGTGGAAGAGAACAATAAAGAAGACTTGTTGTTACACCATGCGTCTCCTCTTAATGCCTCCAACTTGCGAATCTAACAATTGCTATCAGGTCTCCCTGGTCCTTCTCTTCATTAGACTAGCCATGCGCAGTTCCTGCAATCGTCCCTTCATATGTTTTAGCCTCCAATCCCCTAATCATCTTTGTTGCTCTTCTCTGCACTTTTTCTAGAGTCTCAACATCTTTTTTATGGTGTGGAGACCCAAATTGGTCTTACTAAGACTTTATAGAGCAATATTAGTATCTCACATGATCTTGATTGAATTCCTCTGTTAATGCAATTTAGGATTGCATTGGCTTTTTTGCTGCCACCGCACATTGCTGGCACATATTTAGTTGATTCTCCACTAAGACTCCAAGATCCCTCTCACAGTTACTGCTATTAAGCCTGGTTTCACCCAATCTATATTTGCACGTTTGTTTTTTCTTGCCTTCATTTTTCTCTACACTGAATTTCATTTTGTTAGATACAGTCTAGTGTTCAAGTTTGTCCAGATCAGATGGATCTTGAGCGTATCATTTAGAGTGCTGGCTATTCCTGCCAGCTTAGTGTCATCTGCAAATTTGATAAGTTCCTCTTCTATTCCCTCATCTAGGTCATTTATGAAGATGTTGAAGAGTACTGGGCCTAAGACAGAACCTTGTGGTTCGCCACTACTTACTTCCCTCCATGTAGACATAGTACCATTAAGGACTTCTCATTGAGTACAGTTTGTCAGCCAGTTACAAATCCATCCGATGGTTGTGCTATCTATTCCACTTTTTTCTAGCTTTCTAAGAAGTAGATTGTGGTCTCCTTTGTCGAATGCCTTGATGAATTCTAAGTATACTATGTCCACAGCATTTTGCTAGTCTACTAATTTAATCACTTGGTCAAAGAATGAAATAAGATTGGTTTGGCATGATCTCTTTTAACAAACCCATGCTGGCTTTTAGTTATAACTTTATTTGTTTCTAGATGTTTGCAGATCTGTTTTTTGATTATCATTTCCAGTATCTTTCCAGGTATTGATTTTAGGCTGATTGATCTGTAGTTTCCTGGATCTATTTGTTTTTCTTTTTTTGAAGATGGGAACCACATCAGCTCTTTTCCAATTCTCTGGTAGTTCCCTGGTGCTCCAGTATTTTTTAAAGATATGGTACAGTGGTTCTGAAATGACATCTGCCAGCTCTTTCAGAAGTCTGGGATGTAATCCGTCCGGTCCCAGTGATTTATGTTCGAGACAAAAATAAACTGGGCTGATACAGAATTCTGTGGGTACAGGCTAGATTGCTTGTTGAGAAAGAATCTTATCAATTTTCCTTCCAGTAAAAGATAGCCATTTTATAATCCAATGACAACTCTATCTATGACATGCTCTCAAAACTCTGAACTTGTCTCCCATCTTTATAAGTCTGGGAACTGAAGTATTATGGACTTCATATAGTCAAGCAAAGAGTTTAATTTGCCTATTGGTTCCTATTACTCACAGGTCACATGAGAATTTTACTCTAAAACATTTGAAGGGGAAGGTCATTTTACACTATCTAGAGCAGAAATAGCATTTCTGTATCTCAAAAGATCTGGTGGCAACCCAAAAGTAAGCAACTTTGACGTGTATAAAAAAACGGCACCTACCCATTATTGTACAAAGCAAAGGAGGATTCCACAAAATGATAGACAGCACAGGGAGGAAGCTGGATAATAGGTGGGAAAAGCAGTTCAAGGCGTGGTAGCTTAGCTAGCAGTGCAACAGAAAATTCTCCTTCTGGCTTTTCAAAGAGGATGCTGTCTTCATATTCCCTCTGAACAAGAAGAAAAGAAGATAATCAGTTCAAATATGTGTCCCATTTCAAATGTAGTTAGGATGGACATTCTCCTTGTTATGGATAACTGACCAGTGGACAGACAGGTGAATGTAGCTAATGAATGGCTATGTAAATGATTTATTCATGGTTTTTTACATAAGATTTGAAATGCTTATATAACAATGTTGCTGGGTAGAAATATTAAAACTAAAAGCATGATGAAACATAAAATGAACCAAACTAACAAACAAGAAGCAGATTCAGTATTAAAATATCTTTCATTTAAATACCTGTTTCAACTATTAGCCCAAAGTGAGAAGTGAGTGCTTTGGACTTCCTATGGAATCGATATGACAAGTTAGTAATATCTTTAATACTCTTTACTGATATCTATGAACAAACAAACCAGCTGTTTGTGCAAAACCAAAATGAGGTTTGTTTCTTTTTGGCTTAATATAATGTGTAAATTGAATCGGTGAATTAGCCATAGCTTCCTTTAGAGCAGTAAACCCCAGAACAAAAATATATTTTTCAATGGATTTTTTTTTCTGCAGTTCTGGCTCAGTTTAGTATGGCAACAAAGGTGCAAGATTTGACTTTGATTTCCTGGCTTATTCCTGGTCTGCTTTTTTGTTTATTTGTTTTGATGCAGGCATTAATGTGTAGCACTGTATTATTAAGCATTGTATTATTCCAATCCTGATGTACTATTTATTTCAGTGCCCCAAATCTCATTGCCTGCCAAGTTGGGGAAAGAGATAAGAGGAATTGCTGCTGTTATTTTAAATAGTTATGACTCTGAAATAAGTATAAGCATGACTTACCTTTTCCAAAGGGCGGAAAATAATTGGCAAAGTTAAGGACATTCCAGGAGTCAGAATAATTGGCTGTGGGAAAATGGTGATGAAGAAACGTGTAGTGGGAGGTCTGGAACAAAAGGAGCACAAAAAGCATAAATGAAGTGATGCTGAAGAGATTCCGTGTAAACAAAGCAAAAAATTATCTAATAAATAACATTATATGGAGCAGACAAAACAAGCAGACAACATTTTAAGAAATTGAACTATTTCAATGTCAGAGACAGAAAGGTAACAATAGTATTTCTAAAACTGTTAAAATGGAAACTATAGTTGATACTGAACTATATAACTGAAAAATATAGAAATACAGTCAAAAGATAGTAGCAAAAAAGAAAGAAAGAAAAAAAGAAAGAAAGAAAGCTATTCTGCACGGCAGCTTTAAGCTGTGAGTGTCCTGTCCTGGGCCCAACTGGAAATGAAGCCAGCTTAAGAATTCCATCCTGGACTTCAATCTGATCCCCCAGTATAGCAACAATGCTGTCCATGTGTTCCAAACAACGGTGTGTCTTCACTGGTAGGTTGCGCTGCCTATGCACCCTTCCCACTAGGACTAGGAAAGCTAATGCTAACTGCTTTCCCCTGCATGGGAGAATATGTGTTTTCCCATCACTGGCCTCATAGCCCCATTAGCTTTGAACCACTCTCCTGCCCTGTCAGCAATTTACCCCAGAGGCTCTTCTGCATGGATGCTTTAAGTTGCTTATCTCTTGGGCAGAAACCAGCTAGAAATGAAGCTGGCTTAAGGAACTGCTGTCCTACATCAGCTCTGACAATAATGCCAACCAGGTTTTTTGACTGATGGCAATCATCACAGCCGCTAATTCCATGCATGTACATCATATTTTATGAACCCCCTTTCACTGATTCCTCCTCATACTTAACATTTTTTTCAGCATGTCTGCCAGTGATTCATGAAGGTGGAACACCAGTTTTACCTTCTTCCTGTCACTTGAGCTAGAAGAGGAATTTGTCAGACCTCTTGTCCATTTCACTCTTGTCAGAACTCTTGTCAATTTCATCATTCAACTGGTGAACGTGTTAAGAAAGAAAAAGTCAAGTATTCCACCACTGTACCATGAAAGTCATGGAGGACAATGACCAGAGGGGAAGGGTTGTTACCATCACTGTGCAAGCTGCCAATTGGAGTGGAGGCATTGTTCTACACAGAAATGAGGCACAACAGGCAGACCATATACTGTAGCCCTGCTTGCAGAAAAATGCTATTTTTGATATGGAGAAAAAAAACATGGGCAGAGATTGCTGTGGCAGTAGGCTGGGTTAGGTTAAGTGTGAGATCATGAATTCCTGTCCTGAAGAATCAATTAATGAACTATCCTCATGCTATATGCAAGGCAGGCAGATAAGCCCTAACTTAGCCAGGTTTGTTTTAGAAGGGATAAGATAATAATCCTAGACTTCTAGACTTAATACTTAGGAAAAATCCCATTGATATCTCAAGGAACTACTTCCAAGGAATTCTACATAAGATCAGGCTGGGACAAGAGTTAAACAATAAGCTCTGAACTAAGCAATATGACAAATTATCTGGATTTACACATTGGGCTATCATACCCATTGTTTAATCCTGATTGGTTGAATAATCAGCAGTTGCCTGGATATGTGCCTTGTATAAAACCAGAGAATATAGTCTATCAACCAAAATGTCTAGAAAGGAAGCAAAGCCAAAACCAAGCAAGTCATAATGTGGCTTTGCACAAAACAGAAACTTAGGCTTATGACATTTAAAAAAGCCGCTGAGTTTCAAGACATCAATATCCGATTTCAAGAGTGTTTTCCTAAATATAATTTGGGTTAAGTGAGGAACAACCAAAAGAATACAAATGGTAAAAAGTAGGAAAAGCTACAGAATAGCAAATGAAAGCTCCTTTTACCATTGCATGGTCTACAAACCTGAACTTCAGCTTCTGGGGTTTCAGACATACATTTCTTAATATTAGGTGTTTAGTGAATTCCCTTCCTAGGGACCATCCTTGCCAGTTGAGAGTCTCAGCTACTTCAATACCCCAGAAAATATTCTTCTTAGTTTTTTTCACAGAGGAATCCATAGACGTCTGGGAAATCCCCATCAGTTTCTGAAGAAGTGGAAAAACCAAGTTATAGCTTAGCTTATTATCTCATCTGAAGGCTGATAACCAATTTTATTCAACCATTTAACACAAGGAACTATATCCTCCCTTTAATGTTTTCCCAGAAGCTAACCTGGGATAGTTTAGACCAGGGCTGTCAAACTGCCGGCCCACGGGCCGGTTTCATCATACCGGAGCTGCACCCAGCTGATTGCCGGCAACGGCGAAAAAGCTCCAATACGTTGCGTGACGTCACATGAGTTTGCGAGTTTGACATGTCTGGTTTAGACAATATGAGTGAAACTGGATTTCAACCAAATGGCAAATCTAATACTAACTAAATTAGAAAATCTACACACCTGCTTGGCACCATTGCGACAGAGTCTTTGAAAGGAATCTTTCTTGGCTGTACATCCATGCAGATGAGTGAGCATTTTTGCCTCTGAAAAAATCAAAAATAAAATCAAATTATAGAACACTATAGTGACAAGACGCCATCTACTATATTTACCTAAAGAAGGCCAAATCCTCAACAGACTTATTAATGTAATTTTACAATTAGGGAGGGAGTATCGATTGGCTCAGAATTTAGAAATAAAGGCAGACTGGTTTCTTCTGTCTAAACTTCCTTGTAAATGGGTTGTCTTAAATTCAGGGCTACTTTCTACAGAAGGTAATAATATGATCTTATTGAAATTATGGCCCTAATTGTTTTTTTCCAGAAAATATTTTTTTAAACTACAGAAACGTTTTTAACATCAGACAACAGCCATTGTTTACTCAGAAGTAAAACTTAAGAAGTTCAAAATTGATTCTATTCATATGTTTCTGAATTCAAATATCATAGTCCCAAATAAGCTACAAAAAACAGGAGTCTTTGATAATTTTATAATATAATCTCTCATCATAGTGATCATCATAGTACCGCTCCAATCTTACTCTTGTTTCCTTGAAAATAACTCCTATTAAACTCAGTCAATTAAAGGATCCAGTTGTTATACACAAAATATTCAAGGCCACCATTATTCATTTCCAAATCCTTTCTAATTTTATGAACCACCCCATCCCCACCCTGACTTTACACAAATCAAAAGAGGAAACTAGCAGTGGATGTTTTTCTGAAGTTCACCATGATGCTGCCTCTGCCTGAGAGATCCAGAATAATTGTATAGGGTAAAATACTTTCATATGAACTGTCAAATATTAAGTAGAGCCTAAAGCAAAAGATCGTTGGTGGGTTAAGAATATACAGCATAGCATTAAGGCAAAAAGAACATCCTGCACTGGCCATTTGATAACACCCCTATACAAATTGTAACCGTTGTAATACGAAGGTCAGGAAGAGATGGATAAACAGTGCCTGGGCAAGAACTACTTTGGGAAGCCAGGCTACCAGACCCAGACTGCAGGAATTCGGAGAATTCTTTGCTGCCATCTAGTGTTTCTCCAGATGTCTGCAACCAGATATAGTAATTCTAGCTAAAGCAATTCCGAGGTCCCATCACTCAATTTCTATCCATTGGCTAATACCTCGTTTGCCTTATATATTGACAGCTGTATGCATGCCTTACGCTATGTATACAGTATATGCACGCATATATATATGCACACATTGTGTTATCGCATCTACCCCAGCCCCTTAAACCTTTAGTAGATGCTGATCGTGGATTCTGGAAGATCCTACCGGAGCTGTACCTTCGCCCAGCTCAGGAAAATAATGCTTCAGAACAGAAACACAAGATCAAAGAAGCTGGAAAACACGAGACGCCGGCGTTGCTAGGGAAACAATACACGGAAGTAACTGCCGGTTTCCCGAGCAACCAAGAACGGCAGTCGAAGAGGAACACTCTTCCTCGTCGCCTCCCTTCTTTGATACGAAAGTGCAGAGGGAGGGACGAAGGGAGGGGGGAAAGAGACGCGACGAGAGTGCGCAGGTAAAGTAGTCTCTGGAATGGGGCGGCCCCCTAAACCTAAAAGTAAAAGTGGTGTTTCTCTGGGGTCTCTGAACGGATGCTGTGAACTACGCTCCCACCCGAGGCAAAAACACGCCGCTTTTCTCGTAATTCTTATTCGTTGGTACAAAAGAGCCGATTGAAGTCTGGGCATTTCCTAACTGCAACATTTTCTTTCTTTCTGAAGGGAAAGAAATAGAAATAGAATAACAGAGTTGGAAGGAACCCTGTAGGTTATCTAGTCCAACCCCCCCCCTCCCCGCCGCCCAAGCAGCAGACCCTACACCATTTTTGACAGATGGCAATCCAGTCTCTTCCTGAAAGCTTCCGGTGATGAAGCTCCCACAACTTCTGAAGACAAACTGTTCCATTAGTTGATTGTTCTCACTGTCAGAAAAAAATTCTCTTTATTTCTAGGTTGAACCTCTCTTTGATCAGTTTCCATCTATTATTCCTAGTCTGGCTTTCAGATGCTTTGGAAAATAGGTTGACCCCCTCCTCTCTGTGACAGCCCCTCAAATATTGGAACACTGCTATCATGTCTCCCCTGGTCCTTCTCTTCACTAGACTAGCCACGCCCAGTTCCTGTAACTGTTCTAATATGTTTAGCCTCCAGTCCCATCGTCTTTGTTGCTCTTCTCTGCACTCTTTCTACAGTCTCAACACCTGTTTTATAGTGTGGAGTCCAAAACTGGATGCAGTACTCTAGGTGTGGTCTTACCAAGTCTTTATAAAGCGGTATTAGTATCTCACGTGATCTTGATTTGAATTCCTCTGTTAATGCAACTTAGGATTGCATTGGCTTTTTTGGCTGCCGCCACACACTGTTGACTCTCATTTAATTGATTCTCCAAGATCCCTCTCACAGTTACTGCTATTAAGGAACAAAGTCTGAGCAAAGAAGTAAATGTATTATACCCAATCTGCTTTTCCAAACAAGTTCTATTTGCTCTACCTAATTTTTTCTATTAGTCTGGCATTGCTGCCTTAGATGATTTCACATTAAGTTAGTTGCAGCTCTTTCTTCTGCCCTGCCCCCGCACTTAAAAAAAATTCATAATCTCAACATGTCTGTTTAGGAGCAGTCTTTTCTTTTCGTCCTCCTTCCCTCTTCTTTGTTTATTTAAGATTTAAATTCAAATTTAAGTTCATTCTGCACACCTGTTTTTAGTGTGGTTTTGGCCTTCTAAATATTTTCTGTTATGGTAAAGGATAAAAAAATGAACTTGGAAAAGCTACTGTGGGGTGCCCTGGGGAAAAAGGAGAACAGACTGTTATAAAAATATCTAGCATCTTCTCCCACATATATTCTTAGAGAGGCATTATGCAAAATTGTCAGATATGGTAGTTGAAAATTATTAGTAATGCTAATTAATAGTTATATTAATAATGAATAAATCATTTATATCAGTTATTCTGCTAATTATTAGTATAGTCGCTTCATTTTTAGTCTCAAGGAGAGGTATTGGTGCACTGTACACCCCAATATATGGACTGAGCAGACTTTGCTATCCTCAGATAGTCTTAGACAAGTCAATCTTAGAATACAGTTTTGTACTGGCTAAGTTATAAAAGTGTTTTCTCCTGAGTAAGATTTATGTCCTAGAAAGAAATTTCTGGATTCTAGAAACACCCTTGCAAGTGCCCTTGGGTTTGAAGTAGACTGCAAAAGATGTTTCTTTAATATGGTATGACTGTTTACCTTCTGAATCACACTGCTGTATGACATTAAATCAACCCCGTTCCCTCTCTCTCTAGCACCATTGCTCCCCTCAAATTGGACAGGAGCCCAGATATAACAGAAACACTCATAAATTACAGCCATTAAATAACATGCTTTCTGCAGCATCAGGGACCCACAAACAGACTGAGCGTGAGTTGAATGCCACTATCTATCACTTTAATGGATGTACTCTGGAAATTAAACCTGTCACAGCCCATCAAAGGGAATGTTTCAGCCTATGACATTCTGATATAGGCATTTCTTGCCCGTCTTTCTTTGTTTCTTGCCACCTTCCCTGTGTGCTTCCACTTAACCCATGACCCTTGATACTCTGGAGCCCCGGAAGTCAGTCCATAAGGTTGATTCTAAGGAAGTGAATGGCCCTGAGTCTTCCATCAGATTCCAACAAAGCTGTTCTTAAGAGGCCTGTCATTTGCTATCAGAAGGGGATAAGCAGGACTCTAGGGAAAGATAAGAAGCAATCCTTCTCCTGCTTTATGAAAAAAATAAAAAATCCCTAGAGATAATACTTTGATTGGGCAACTACATTTATGGGTTCTTAGAATATTTTATCATGCAGAATGTTTATAAACCAGGAAAAAGGCAGGAGGAAAAACTTGACTACTTTTTCAATCTGTACCTATACTTATATATAATCTTGATGGAGTGAGAGCCTTCAGGCACATGCAAATCGAATGTTAGATAATTCAGAATGGTGTTGGAAAGACCGATAAGTGATGGAAATAAGTGGATCTTTTTTGTCCCATTTTTAAAATCTTTCATAATTGGTGGCAACATCTAACCCAGCGGTTCTCAACCTGTGGGTCGCGACCCCATTTGGGGTCGAACGACCATTTCACGGGGGTCGCCAAACAATGCGATCCGCCATTTTTTTCTCAGCTGGCGGCACCGCGCATGTGCACCGCACATGGGGCAGCACCGCACATGCGCGCAGTCCATGGGGACGCCGCCGCGCATGAACACTGCACATGGGGACGCCACCGTGCATGCACGCCACGCATGGGGTCGCCGCCGCGCATGCGCATCACGCATGGGGACGCCACCGCGCATGTGCGGCGCGTCCTTATGACCGGGGTCGCCGGTATAAAAAGGTTGAGAACCACTGATCTAACCGGTGTTGGTTGATTTCAAAAAAAATGCCAAGGAGGGTCAGACTATTTGGCCCTCAGATGAGAAGCCACCAAGAAATCCCCAGGCTCCATAGTAGAAGAGGAAGTCAAATCATTGTGGACAAAGACAAACCAGTTTCCTTTAATCTTCCCAGCCCCAAATATGCAGGAACTTGAGCTAGTCTTGGACAAGTCTTTATCTCTACATCCAAAGAGTTTCCATCTCAGGAAAAATCCTTTAGCTAGTGAAAATCAAGTTGAAACAGCGATCACCAAACTAGGGAAATAGAATTTACTAAACAAAGCTACATTTTACAAATAGGGGTAATTACTTGGACTTAGTATGTCGAAGTATCATTTTATTTCTGCTGAACTTGAGATGATAATACCCATCTTGGGAATTAGACACATCCTGGAGATTGAGAAGAAGTTCCCTGAGGATGGGCTCCAGCATGAGTTCAAAAGCTGGGAAGAACAAATCTCTGGTCCTGGTGACCGACTCAGATTGGTTCCTGCAGCGTTATCCTGGGACATGTATATTTGCCTTCGTTCACAGAAATACCCATGTCTGGAATGAAAAGCCAGCTTTGTGGATTTACCTGGAATAATGTGAACTGCAGAGAAAATAGTTGGGATGGGAGAAGGAGGAATGTTGGAAAAGCAAACATCATTTACTTTCAGGAGCATATTTGAATCCAATGGAAAATGTATTCATTATTATTAGATTTTTACAGAGAAAGAGAGAGATTTTTCAGCTCAAAATAGCCAGCATCCTAATAGTCCTATCTATCTCCTATTTTTCCCCATAACAAGAACCCTGTGAAATGAGTTAGGCTGAGAGACTGGCTCAAAGTCAACCTGCCAATGTTCATGCCCAAGAGAGGATTAACATTCACAGCTTTCCGATTTCTAGGCCAGTACCTTAGCCACTGCCCCAACTGGCTCATCGGCTTGCAGAACCCTTAGTCCTCCTGTCCCTTATCTAGAGTTAAAGGCAAACTGCAAACTGGCTATTATTCTGCCTGTACTGTGTTCGAAAATATCTGAACCACTATTATTTTTAATGGGTTGTGGCAGTCACATACTAGGCTAATAGAGTGGTATGTTATTTTTTTAAAAAAACCCTTTCAATAAAAAGATAAACATCCAGCTCACTAGAAGGATTCCTCTCGTAGTAGGATCCATTCTGGCTAGCGACAACGGAAATAGCTTTACAGAGGAAAGGCACCAAGTTGGCAAAGACTCATGTAGATTTTTCATATGACACAGAAAAGGGAGAGCTTAACAAAATACAAATAACACCGGAGAACTTTTCCTCAAATATCTAAAGCAATGGATTGAATTTAAGATGTCCGTGAGAAATTTTTTCCGCTTCCTCCTCTTTTTGTTAAACGCATTCAAACGTAGTCAGAATCAGGCAGCAATGATTGAGAAAATAAGAATGGCCAAGGGGACACTGCAGAGCTGTTTTATGTAATTGTTGGTATCATTCAAGTTATTTCTATAAAATTCAGGGCAGTGGGACCGCTAGGTCTTTGCTGCAGTTATTGAGTGCACCCTCTGTGTGTCAGTATTGCTCCACAGAGCCAGGATTTTCAACCACTTGGAAAGAGAGGGAGGGAGGGAGGGAGAGAGAGAGAGAGAGAATTTCCAGAACCCCTGATCAGAAGGCAAAGCTCTAGTGATAGTAAATTAGCTGTGCTTGTGAATGAACGTTTTCTTTTTGCCTTTAGTCTCACACAGAATATCAAGTTAGGATTCTGCGAAACACAGTTGGAAAAACTCTGGCCCACAGCTTCAGTGTGTTGTGATCTGGAAGAGTGAGCAAATCTGTTACCATGCTGATACACATCTTTAAGTCACCATCCTTATGAAGTTCAAAGATTACTTAAACACTTTCCTAAAGTGAAGTACAACTTACATCATATCTCCAAGTTGTCCTCCCATTTCATTGTTCAATCTCCATATTATTTGTTGTTGTGGCAACAAGATGTCCACATAGGTTATGCCCTTTGGTTGAATCTTTCATTATCAGACAGGCTTTCCCAGCTGGTAACCAGTCTTCAATTTCATCTCCTTGTGGTATATTGTTAAACTGCTTGGCAATGAGTGGGTGGAGACTAGTCAGATTTTTCAACCAAAAACCATGCAGTTTATCTTCACCTGGTGCTGACCAATTCTTGATCTTCTTTGCCCTTTTTTCACCATTCTGTTATTATTACAGGCTCTTTCATTTCAGCTTCTTATCTGCCTCATTTATTGAAACTGCCTTCTTCTATTTCTTTGAGTTGTCCCTTGGCTACAGCTAGAACTGCACTGTTTCTTTTTTGTCGGGTGTTGACTGCTTCACTGCAGTCTCTCTACTGATGGATTGCTGTTATTGTTACTACCATTTAGCAGATGTGCCTTCCTTTTTGCCCTTTTTTCTAATTGTCAGGGTTTACTGTACTTGACTCATTATTTGCAACGTATTGTGTATCACCTTGAGAATTCTTTTTCTGAAAGTAACATTACTGCTCTTTTCATATAATGTAGAAATTAAATGGAGCAAAGCTTTGTATATGCTACTTTGTGAGTGCGCCTTTTTAAAAAAATCTTGCTCAACTCACCATGATACATGATTGATGGGCACTCAGAGGAATGCTTCATAACATGGGGATCTAAAAAGAGGAAGGATTCCAGGCCTTTATATATAAATAAACCTTTTTAAAAATACGTATCCATTGGATAACTTGTCTGGATGCTTAGGAACTGAGTATACAGATTAATAAAGGCTTGATTAATAACTTGGATGGATAATTCCTGACTGGACATATTGGCAAGCGTTCAGCCAAATGGTTGACTATCTATAGAGGTTTCTACTGTGGAACAGGAGACCCCACCTGAAGAATGCCTATAATTTGGGAGCATAATAAACATTGTGGTTACTATAAATTGTGGCCGAGCCTAAATAAACTTTATTATTGATCATCGCACAGTCAGCCAAATATTCAAACTAGATTTGACATTTTTGTCTATGTATCGAGTCCTTACCAAGGAGCTGGGATAGGCAGATGTGGATGGTATTTGATGGTATTACAGATATTATTGCAGGATGGAAGCTGTTCCTAGTAAGACCACCTTTTGCAATTGACTGATGGCGAATTTGTCAATGCCAATGGTGTCCAAGTGGTGCTCCAGTTGTTTTGGGATTGCACCCAAGGAGCCCATTACTATTGGTATATTATTATTATTATTATTATTATTATTATTATTATTATTATTATTATTATTATTATTATTATTATTATTATTATACTGTGCAGTTGGATCTTATACATTTCTTCCTGGAAGCAAATCCAGCTGATTTTCTTGAGGATTGTTCCCAAGTAAAAGTGCATAGCATGTATGCAGGACTTTGTTATATTCATTTTGATTTATATATCTTTTTTTGCTGGCAAAACAATTACATGAATTGTATTCACTAATTCACATCAAAAATGTCTGTAGACAGAATTCTTACTAGGGTTATTATTGCCCCAGACTTCATTCTCTTTTTCTGAACCTTTTCTGAGCACTGTGTGGTCGATGGCCCCTGAGTACTTAATGTATTCAGTCCTTCTTTCTCCGATCAGCTTCCTGTCATCTTGGTCTCCAAGTGTTCTGTTTCTCTTTTCTGCAGTTAGTAGAAGCTACCAAGTAAGTAAAGGGAGACTTTTGTCTTGTCTTTGTTGAAGTCATCATCTTTATAGCCGGACAAGGGGAACACCCAGGCGAGGAGTGCCTCTAATCCCCCACCCCCCACCCCCAATACACTTACAGAACAATTACACGTTAAATATCTTCCAAACACACATAAATTAAGCAGCACAGTTTTACCAGGGCACTAGCCCAGGTAGAGTCCTTCTTTTCTAAAAGTCTATGAGCAGGAGCACCAAACTAATTATGATGGTCTAGAGCCAGTTCCTGGAAGCTCCTCACTGTCTTTCTTTTGAGGCTCAACAACATCTGCTCATAGCAGCACATTTCTCTCCCTGTGAGTGGTGTTCTGCACTTCCTCGTCTTCTGAGCCCGAGGGATCTGAGCTGAAGCTGAAAGTGTCGGCATCATGGTGCAGGAATTGCACACTGGCCCTGTGTTTCTTATATTCATCACCACCGCTCTCTTCTTCTTCCTCCTCCTCCTCCCCTCGCACCTCTCCAGGGAGCAGTTTCTCTGGGGCCTTGCTTGCCACTCTCTGCTTCTCCGCCTCAGCCTGGGTTACCTGCTCCTTGGCCTTACGACTTCGCTTCCACTTCATCCTGCGGTTCTGAAACCAGATTTTCACCTGAAAGAAATGAACAGGCAAAGGCTGACTACGTGTCAATGACCCTTCAGCACTCTCCCAGCTTCTATATCACGGGTCGGCAACCTGCGGCTCCAGAGCTGCATGTGGCTCTTTGAGCCTCCTCCGCCATTTGCAGAGACAGAGATAGAGAGGCACTTGCGCTTCCCTTCTCTCTCTCTCTCTCTCTCTCTCTCTCTGTGTGTGTGTGTGTGTGTGTGTGTGTGTGTGTGTGTGTGCGTGTGTGTGTGTGTAAAAAAGAGAGTGGCTTTATGCAGTTCTCAGACGAACTGACAAGCTTATTGGGCAGGGCGCTTGCCTTGGCTGCGTCTCTGCAGGAAGCAGGAAGGGCAGGAGAGAGCCAGCCCAATAAGATTGTGTCAGCTTGTTGGAGAACAGCCTGAAGCCAGCTTGCCAGGTGAGCAGAAGATTGGAGAGAGGGAGAGAGGGGGGAGAGAAAGAGGGAGAGGGAGAGGGAGAGGAAAGAGAGAGGAGGGAGAGAGAAGGAGAGGGGAAGAGAGCGAGAGAGGGAGAGAGAAAAAGAGGGAGAGAGAGAAAGAGGGGGAGGAAAGAGGGAGAGAGAAAGAGGGAGAGAGGGAGAGAAAGAGGGAGAGAGAGAAAGAGAGAAGGAAAAAAAGAGGGAGAGGAAAGAGTGAGAGAGGAAAGAGAGAAAGAGAGGGGGAGAGGAGAGAGAGAGAGAGAGAGAGAGAGAGAACTCATGCATAGCAGCCTCTATTTCTTTTTAATTAAACTCTTCAGTCAAGCTCCCTACCCCTTGCGTGCACGCACATGCGCGCACAGGTTTTGCAGCTTCCAGTGTTTTCTCTGGGAAATGGGTCCAAGTGGCTCTTTGAGTATTTAAGGTTGCAGACTCCTGTTCTATACTATCCTTGTGAAGCACAGTTCAAGGGTGGAAAACTGCCCTCATTGCACTTTAACTGCCAATGGTTTTTAAAAACCCTCAGTTTTGGTCCAGCGCCTTAACCACTCTCTTGCGGAGGCTAATGGATAAAAAGTACTTATTTTCATTGCTTGTAAAACAGCTACTTTGGGTCAGTTTCTGCAGCCCATAAAAATCTCTCCGCAAGACTGCCTTGCAGTTTCATCAAAGAATGTAGAAAGTTTCAAAACGGTTTGTTTGTTAAATGTACACACTACCCAACTTCCAGAGAAGAAAATACATCTCTTTTTTTAGTGAGACAATGTGCATTTCTGAATTGTTTTAATTAATTGCTGTACCATTTATCTATGTATGATGCAGATCCCTTTTATGAAGGCGAACGAAAAAAACCGAATGAATGAGCTATCTACTTTCTGAGGATAGGAAACAATTCTGACATTGCTTACAAAATGTAGAGGACTAGCTCATCTACTTATTGCTAGGAGGCAAGAATGGACAGCTGCACACTGCAAACTTGATGAGACCTACTGGACCTCTAGATCTCTCTTACCTACCAGGCTGTGCCATCTTCATACTATTCATGATGAACGGTGGGAAATGCACATGCTGCTTATATGATTCTGCATGAAATAGATGAGGGCTATGGAATACAAGCTGGGGGAGGGTATCAGTAATTATGTATATGCTATATTTTATTATATGCCAGTGTTTTCATTCTGTTATTTCCAGATATCTGTTATTTCCAAATATATTGGTGGTAGAATCCCAGAGGCAAAAGTTCATTTTGACCCGTTACCTCTCAGTGGTATTATTGTTCCACAAGGTTTTGGGTTCCATTTTTTTTTTTTAAATTCCTCCCATGACTATCAGCAGATGGCAGCACCAGCAGACCTTGGCTCAGTTCTGATCAGAGATATCATCAGGAAATCCCAAGGCTGCAAATAGAATGGGAAGATTTAAAAAGAAAAGAAAAGCCCGACCAAAAAGAAACCATTTTCACATTGTTACCGAGAAAGCCACCTGGAGGTGTCCGTGAAATCACCAGGGTTTGCTCTTGACTCAAGGGAGTCTTTGCAAATGATGAAAGGCATAAGGTGAAACGTGTATATTTTATGTGTTATGTCCCTGCTGCTAACTCCCTTGACAACATGGGCAAGATGTTGAGATTACATTTCTCTTTCCTGGGTGATACCTGTGTCTCCGTTAGCATCAGTGATGTGGCCACTTCAAAACGTTTGGGCCGTGAAAGATACTTGTTGATCTTGAACTGGTTCTCCAGCTCAAGAAGCTGCTGACTGGTAAAAGCGGTTCGAGGTCTACGGCATTTGCCCATCAGGTTGGTTGGTGGGGAAGCTGAAAAGAGAAAGGAAAATCAGGATGTGTTGAAAGCATCCAAGAAGCGCTCGCCAAAGGCGACCTTTTTTTAAACACTTCTCCACTGTTGCAAGACTCTATACCAGTGATGGCGAACCTTTTAGAGACCGAGTGCCCAAACTGCAACCCAAAACCCACGTATTTATTGCTGGGTGTCAGGTGGGCATGACCCACTGGGTGGGTGTGGCTATAGTGGTCATGGCAGACTGGATGGGGGTGGCCAAGGTGGGGGTGGTCACCTCGATGTTGCTCATGGGGAGGGACGCCTGTGAGGTCTGGGAAACGGGGAAGATCCAGGGGGTCTCTGACAGGTGGGGCAGTGGGCAGGAGGTTTGTCCTGCGGGGTGAGGCAAGATGAGGTGGGGGGCGGTGCCATTGTCACAGGGCAAGGCAAGGCAGGGGCCCAGGTGGCTGCTGCCTGACACCATCGGCCCCCGCACCCAGAGGCCAGCAAGCGCATGGGGGATGACAGTGTCCGTCAGCAGCCACAGCCTGTCGGCCCCTCAACCGGCGCACTCTGGGGCTCCGCAGTCCACCACCAGCAGTTCAGAGAAGCCGCCTCTGAGCTGGATGGCCAGCTGACAGCTGAGGAGGCGATGCATTGGTCGTGCTGGGAAAAGGAGAGCTTGTGAGGCCAGGAAGGACAGGACGGGGAGGGAGAGAAACCAGCCATGTTGGGATGTACCTGGCCACATGGGACCTCGGCGAGTTAGCAGATGGCTGGTTGAAGAGGGACGGTTGCCATCTCTGGGGCATGGCACGCACGCGTGTCCACAGAGAGGGCTCTGAGTGCCGCCTCTGTTCGCCACCACTGCTCTATACCCTGTATCATTGCTTAGGTTTCTATGATGCACTATTTGCAGGAGACATCAATACATTCAGAAGCTGATATGTTTTTATTTATTTCATGGTTAACTATTATTATTACTAAATTAGTATTATTATTACCATCAAGGATCTGTATGCTGTCCTTTGCTCACTTTAACAATATAAAACTTACACTGTTTATATATGTTAATATAGAATGCATTATTACTATAAATCAAAATATGTCTCTTTGCTCTAGGCCACAGGTGTCAAACTCGATTGTGTCACGTGACTTTCATATTGCCATGTTTTTTGCCTTTGCGGAGCCAGGGTGGGCATGACCTGCGTGTGACACATCCGGCCTGCGGGCAGCCAGCTTGACACCCCTGCATAGAAGAAGCTGACTTCTCAATATTTCACTTTCTTTCTAGTGATAGAGAAGGATATTTCTGATGTTTTCCTCACAACAGTAAACCAAATATACTATCTTCAGCTGGTATTTATACATAAAAAACCACCACATTGCTGTTGGTGCTATTATTATTTCATATTTAGATAATGCTGTTGCCATATTTAAAAGCATTTGTATGCTAGCTAACATTGGTTATAAAAGGCCAACTGGGTATTAACAAGCCAATACACACAACCAGTTGCTAGTTTAGTAACTGTTAGTTTAAATAACTGCAATATTTAACAGATGAACATGCAGTTGGGATTTCTTTTTTCTGCTCTTTACTTTTTTTTGCTCCTGTGTCTTTAACCGAAATCTGCCATGCAAACATTAAGCAGCTAATTATCTCTCCACAACTATATTTGCCTCAGGAAAAGCTTCACTTATTGGTGTTATTTCTAAAACTAGTCTTTTAGAACTAGTATATAATTCCCTTTGGGATTTCTTTCATTTTTCTTCAATTGCTGTTTGCTGCTTCACTGGCATTTTCTTCAGCATGAGAGTTGGAAAGTTGAACTTTATCCAGCCTTGAAAGACTTCTTATCTCTCAGCTAATTACCTTATAGAGTTGATATGCTACAGTAATCAAATAAAGGCAGCCTCAAAATAATTTATTTTTATTTCTGTTATGATTTACTGTATATCCTGCCTTTGGCAAATAAGGCAAAGCTCCCTAAAGGAAAAGTGGCATACAAAGATAATATATATACTGTATATAAATACATTTGCTTCCTGACAATAGGAGTTTTAGATAAAAATTATGTATCCTAATGTTCCATATCTTAATGTTTGAATACTACATTGGGCCTGAAATATGTCAGATGTCCCCTTCATGCATCAGAAGCTCTCACTTTTTTTCACAGTCACATTTTTAGCCCAGGTTTTACTTCTATAAATGTTATCATGTCACTTTAACATAAACAGTCTAATTTTATTGACTGATGGTATCACATAATTAGTTTAGAATGAGAACAGGAAACATTGCATATCTTTTGAATGGGCAGGTTTTCATACCTGTCAGTCTCTCTCTCTCTCTCTCCCTCCCTCCCTCCCTCCCTCTCTTTCTCTCTCTCTCTCTCTCACACACATACACACACACACACACACACATACACACACACAGAGGGAGGGAGGGAGGGAGGGAGGGAGGGAGGGAGGGAGGGAAGGAGAGAGAAAGAGAGAGAGAGAGAGAGAGACTCACACATAGATGGTGCTTTTTGTAGGGCGTAAAAATCTTCTCAAACTGATTTCCACAAAACTGACTCTTCCTTTCACTTACCTCCCTGGTAACTTACATACAATAAAACATGAATATCTATGGTAGCGTTTCCTTCCTACCAGTGGCATTTTATTAAGGTTGTCAGGCTTGGCAGACTGTATGAAGAGATACAAGCTTGACTCTTTGAGCCTGCTTCTTTTCCTTCAAAATAATGATTTTATGACCCCGCTGATATTAACCTGTGTGATAAGCTATCAGCCCTTGCTTTAGAAATTGCAATCAATTCCGTTGGTGAAATTAAACCACCTTTATTAGCATAAGGTGTATTTAATTACCTCCAGCTGTTCCCGGGAGTGATAAAGGCAGCCTGCCTCCACACTGGCTTAGGAGTACCTGGCTGGCTAATAAGCTGTTATCAGAGCATGTTGCTGAATGGGGAGGAGGAACAAAAGAAGCTTTGAGGGAAGGCTGCAGCTTGCCCCCACAGAGGCAGAACAGGAAGGGTGTGCTTGATTCTCCCACTATTGCCCATTTTATGGGCTGCCTCCTGGATTAGCTTTTACAGCCCTTGACTAAATAGAGAACAGACACTGGGAGGTGAAAGTGGGCTGGAAGAGATAGGTACAGAGAATCAGAGAAACATGATGAGAGTTCTCAACAAACACACAACCCGCTTTGATCACTGATTGTGTTTAATGGGTCTGGAAAAGTAAACCAACAAACATCTCAAAAGGGTCCCATGCCGCAGGAGAAGCAGGCAGATGCCGCAAGACTCCCCCCCCCCCCCAGTCCCAAACTTCATTCTCATGGAATTTGGAGTTGCCTCTGAAGCTTCAGAAATCGGCATCCTGTGTTTGGAGGTAGAAAATACTCTCAACAATTGTGAGCTGAACTGTAAGAGATGCTTTGTGGTGATCCTTCAGTGGCTTTCAACTCTTCGTGATCCAATGGACATTTTAAAAAAAAAAGACATACCCCAATCGCCCTCCAAATAATCCATGGAAATTCTAAAAATCCCCTGGCTGGGTGCATGAGATGGCCCTGTTCACTTTTCATCATTGCCCACCCAAGATAGACCTCAGGGTCCCAAAAGAGAAAGCCTGGCCCTTAGCTGTCCAAAGCATTTCTCCCAGGAAACCACTGACTGTTTTGATTATTGCCTTAAAGATGATAGTGCCTAAATGTGATAGTTTCAATAACTGCTAGCACCTGACAAACCTTGTCTGCACCCCAGAATTAAACAGGGCCCAGATATAATGGAAATCCTAGAGGTGAGGCTAGACTGAAAAACTGGGGGAAAATATCCTGTCAGAAAACAAGTATACATGAATTACAAGAAAATGACACAGAATTCATTTTTGCTGAACCTGAGGGCACCTTTACCTTTAGATTATATTATTACCTCCTTTTGCATTGAAAATGAAGTAATCCTCTGTAGGCTCTAACACAGTGTTTCTCAACCTTGACAATTTTAAGGCATGTGGACTTCAACTCCCATAATTCCACAGCCAGCAATGCTGGCTGTGGAATTCTGGGAGTTGAAGTCCTCATGCCTTAAAATTGTCAAGGTTGAGAAACACTGCTCTAACATCTAGAACAGGGGTAGGCAAACTTGGCTCTTTCTATGACTCGTGGACTTCAACTCCCAGAATTCCTGAGCCAGCATGGCTGGCTCAGGAATTCTGGGAGTTGAAGTCTGCGAGCTATAAAAGTGCCAAGGTAGCCTACTCCTGATCTAGAAGAAACAGACAAAGAATTTCCTGTAGCCTTTAGTTATCTTAGCTGCCTTGAATGTCAAAATCCTAACTTTATCTTATGGAATATTGAGGTTTTTGCTGTTCTGGCTCCTGCAGCAGGAAGACAAGAAGGAAGGTAGATATAGAAACAGACCAAAGCAGATATTCAGATAAAATTTTGAAGGAATTTGCAGATGATATAAAAACGGAGGAACGGTTTTTGATGACAGTGGAAAAATTAAATAGTCTTGAATTTAACAGAAAGAAATTTAATAGAGACAATGCAAAGTTCTATAGTTAGGAAAAATAATCAAGTGCACAGGCCTAGTATGGGACACCCCTGACTTTGGGGAAAAAAACACTGGAATGGTACTTGATGGTATATCTGTTAAAAGATAAATGCAATTTTGGATGGCACCAACAGAAGCATTGCTTTCAAATGAGAGGAAATCACTAATCCACTTGATTCTGCATTGTAGGAGCCCCACCTTGAGTATTAGATTCCATCCTGGGTGTTGCATTTTAAGAAGAATTTGTAGAAATGCAACAGATACAAAGAACAAGAGAATGATCAAAGGATCTGGATCAAAATTGTGGTCACTGCAATACAAAAAAAAAGACACTTGAGTCCCAATCTAAATGCTGTGACTTACTCCTTGGTCCTTAGTCTAAGTCTTGAGACTAAAGGAGCTAGATTTGTTTACCCTTCAGAAAAGAATGGGTAGATGACACAACTCTTCAGTATATGAACAAATGTCACACAGAAAGTCAATACCAAACTCTCTTATTCTAAAGTGCAGGAAACAGAATAATTGATTTAAGTTACAGGAGAGAAAATTTCCCTTGAATATTAGAAGAAAAACACCTTTCCTAATAATAAAAGCAGTTGACAGTAGAACCAATTATCCAGAGTGATAGGATCATTTTCTTTGCATGTATACAAATTAAAGCTGTCTGGGATGCTTTAATTTGGCTCCTTGCATTGAGCAAGGAGCTGGACTCCATAACATCAATGGTTCCAACCAATTCTATAACGGTATGAATTGTGAAGTCATTTTATGGAAGTCTTGCTGGAGCAACAGGTTGAAGCAAGGTGGTGGACCTTTTCACAATTAGCCATGCTGCCTATGGCTCAGGATAGTTGATATTCAGCAACATTTTGAGGGTCATGGATGCTTTCCTTCTGCCCTAGTTGATAGAAATGGTGCACTGTGCATTTCTTTAACAACACAATATTTCACTAAATGAAAATTTAAAAACAAATCTTTAATCAAGTCCAAATTTCTTAGGAGCAGCAGATGGTTTTGTACAAAAGCTACTGATTTCAGGGAAAACCATAAAAAATATTTTAGACAAATTTTAGATAAAATTAATCCTGTGTGCACTGTGTGTATAGCTAAGCTAAAAATAAAAAAAAGCTATGTTCCTATTTGACAGCACAATAAGGGTCAACTTATGCAATTAGTATAGCAGGTCATTGTTGCTGGACCTGTACAAAGGCAGTTGTTAGGAAAAAAATCCAATATTCTATTAGTCTCTCAAAGATACAGATTGAAATGTGGGCTGAGCTTATGCTACATAAAGACAGATAAAATGCATGTATATTTATTCCCAGAATAAATATATGTAAAGCAGAAAATGCATGCACAATACACATACTCCAGAATTAAAAAAAAATCAAAAATGTTAACAGTGCAATTTTATTTATTAATTAGATGTTACCCGCTTTTATTAGTAGCTCAAGCTGGCAAAGACATCTGATACCCCTTCCTCCTTTTTCTCCACAACAACTTTGTGAAGTGGGCTGGGCTGGCCCAAGGTCACACAGCTGCTTTCAGACCTAAGCCAGGACTATAATTCACAGTCTCCTGGTTTCTAGCCCAGCACCTTAACCATGACCTGTGCCTATTCAAGTACCATTTAGATGAGTGGGCTTCCTTTCCCAATCTGTATATAGAATGCAGCCTATTTGGACTGCAGTATAATAGGTTATGCAGTTTGCAATATCTTCTAAATTTAGCTACAACAACAATAAATAAGTGTTGATGTTAGAAAGAAACCAAGGACGGGAGTAAGGCAATATAACATTAAGCTTCTCTGGCTAAGGTGACTAAAGTTAAAGTGAATATTCATAAATACTCAAAACCCACAGTATAAATGGCGGCATGGACTCTGATCATGAAATTGATACCTCAAAATGTGAATGCGTTTAACTTATTTATATCCCACATGAAAACTCATAAGCTGCTAACTGCTGGATGCTAGCATAGAATGCTAACAGATACTACCAAATACTAAATATAATTGCATATTAAGTATAAAAACAATCAAATATGAAAAACATGGATTGGCATGTCCAAAATACCGTGATACAAATATATGTACCACGGTATTTTGGACATGCCAATCCATGTTTTTCATATTTGATTGTTTTTATACTTAATATGCAATTATATTTAGTATTTGGTAGCATTTAGAACTGTTATAAAATATAAAATACAGCTAGTAAATGAGACTTACATTCAGCACTATTTCCAGAGTGCAGTTGAGAACACAAAGGGCAACTAAAAACCAAGGATTAGTAATTTTTTAATATCCATTTTCCTAAATAAATATTTTCAGCACTGATCCAACTCATCTTGGCACAATCCGTGCTATCAGAGTGGGCA